TGCAAGCATGCAAGTCAGTGCTCCCCACTTATTTGCTTGTATGAGTGAGGAGTGTGGTAGGGCCAGAGTGTTTTCAGTGGTGTTTGACTAGAGTAGAGCTGTTACTGTCCAAAAGTTTTCTGTTTGGTTAGGCCTCCCTGCTCCTGGTCCTTTAGCTATAGAGAGCAAGCTTTATGTGGATTTTTTTTTAATCTACACTCACTGGTGCTTCCAGATTGCTGGCTTCATTAGCTCCAAGTCTAGAATATACAAGAAAATAGAAAACCCACAAAAGTCACCACTGTGTTGTTCTTCAAATGCTGAGGTTTGCTTTCTCTCCATTTTTCAAAGTCTTCTTATATTTGTTTTATGTATCATTTTCTTATTTTTTCATTTTACTTAGTTAGGGGATTAGGAGAAAGTACATCTAATCCAGCTTCCCAGAATTGGAAGTAAAATATAAGGCTTTATTAGAACAACACTGCTCATTCATTTACATATTTTCTATGACTTTTCACAGTACAAGGCAGAGTACATCAAGAGCAACGGAGATCATAAGACCTGAAAATCCAAAATATTTATCCTTTTTTCCTTTATAGAAAATAATTGTCAATTCCTACTTTATGCAATAGTTTTCATGTATGTTACATCTACATTTATTACAAGCTCTATAAGACAATGTTTTTTATTTTAAAAACAATATATTTTTTAATTAAGAGGAATAATAGTCCTTTATATTTCCCCCAATATTTATCATTCCTAATGCTTTTTATTCCTTTTTTCTTCCTTCATGAAGATCCAGATTTTGATCTGGTATCATTTTATTTCATCCTGAAGTCCTTCCTTTAGCATACTTTATGGTGAAATCACCCCCCTCTCTCTCTCCTTTCCTAACTTGAATATCTATTTATTTTATTTCTACTCTTGAAGGATACTTTTGACAATTATAATATTCTGGGTTATATTTTTCTTTCTGTCAGCATTTTAAAAATGTTTTCCACTGTCTTCTGGCCTCCGTGTAGTCAGATGGGAAGCCAGTGGACATTGGAATACTTATTTCCCTGTATGTAACATTATTTTCCTCTGTCTGCTATCAATGTGTTCTGTCATTGCGTTTCCCTAGATTTAATATAATGTACTTAGCAGTGGTTTTCTTCATCTTCATCCTGACTGGAGTTCACTCAACTTCTAAAATTAGAACAAGAAATCACAAAAAATAAATTTGTAACAACAAATTGCAGAATTTTTACAGCAATTTAAAATTTTGTTTCTTCATTGTTCTTTTTCTCTTCTCTTTCTAGAACTTCAATTTAATATATGTTAGGCATTTGATGTTGTCCCACAAATGCTGGACAATCTTTTTTCCTTAGTTTTTCAGATAATTTATAATGATCTGTCTTCAAAGCACTATCTCTTTGCTCTATTTTCTCCATATTTTTGTTAATCCTATACAGTAAAATTTTTATTTCAATGAATGCATTTTTAAGTTATATTTTTCCACATTCTATTTTATTGCAAACATTTCCCTTTATAACCATGAGTTAGTCATAATCACCTTGAAATCTGTCTCTTTTTGAGAAAGACAAATATCACATATTCTCACTCACATATGGGAGAATATTACATATATTATAATATATATTAATAAAAATTAAAAATCTGTTTAGTGCTATTAATAATTCCAATATTTGGGTGGTCTTGATACTGTTCTCTGTTGATGGTCTTTTTGTTTGAGAATGAGTCATAATTTTTTCCATTCTTTGAATATCAAGTAATTTTAAAATTCTTTTCCTGGGCATTGTGAGTGTTATGAAAAGATTCTGTTATATTTCCCCAATAACTGTTTTTTGTTGTTGTTTATAAACTTTTGTAGACAATTTTTTGTAGACAATTATCCTGATTGGACTCAAACTGCCAATTCTTGGGTGGCATGTGACATCCTAGTACAGTTATTTGAAAGTTTTGATGGGCTTTTAGTCTATCCAATACATGTATGAGTCAAGTGTCAGGGATTTGGGCAGATTTTACACAAAGCCTGGAATCTGCTTTCACTGTTTCTCTCTTTTCTAGGATTTTTCCCTCATTATCTATCCATTGGCTGTGGTTCCCCTTAACTCCTTAGACTAAAACGACTTTAGATTTTCTAGCAAAGATCTTGCCATTCTGCATGGTAAAGACATGACCTAACCTAAGGCCAGAAACCATAAAAAACTGTTAGCTAGTGATTTATCTATTTTGATTATTTTTAAAAACAGGATTTTATTTATTAATTTGATTTGAAGTTTTTCTGTTCTCCACTCTTTTTTTTTTTTTTCTTTTTGCCCCAGACAAGGTCTCCCTCTGTTACCCAGGCTAGAGTGTAATAATAGCTTAATGTAACCTCGACCTCCTGGGCTCAAGCTATCCTTTTGCCTCAGCCGCCTGAAAAGCTGGGACTACAGGCATGCACCACCATGCCCAGCTAATTTTTTAATTTTCTGTAGAGACAGGGTCTCACTAAGTTGCTCAGGCTGGTCTCAAACTCCTGGCCTAAAGTGTGTCTCCTGGCTTGACTTCCCAAAGTGCTGGGATTATTTATAGGCATAAGCTACCATGCCTAGCCTCACTCTTTTTTTTATTGTTTAATTTTTCCTTCCTTGTGCTTTCTTTTGTTTTATTTTTCTTGTTTTTTTAAGTATTGATAATTTGCTTTTACTTTTTTTACTTTTATTGCTATAATTTGACATTGTTATGCATTTTCCTTTGATTGCCACTTTCACAGTATCCCATAGAGTCTGATATACAGGATTCTTATTTTCATTATTTTTTGAAATAACTTAAAATTCTGACATTTGTATCCTTTCATTCAAGAGTTGTTTCATAAAAAGTTGAATTTCTATGTAGGAGGATGTTTTTAATTTTTAGTTTGTAATATTCCTATTTTATAAAAACTAATGATTTTTGTTATATGAGCAATTTTTAAAAATGTTCCAACTGTTCCTAAGAAGATATTTTCTCTATTATCATTATATAACATCTATATGTTTGTACATATCTGAAAAATTCTACTTTATTGATTGTAATATTTAGATGATTTTTATAGCCTCGTTTATTTTTATGTCCACTTGTCTTCTTTTATATTGAGAGTGGAGTATTGAATCCCAAATTATTAATGAGTTTTTATCTATGAACCCTTTCATCTCATGTTGTGTCTGTTTTATATTTTGGTTGTTCTGTTTTTTGGCAGATAAGTATTTATAATAGCTGTTATATCTGTGGTTCTTTGAAATGTGGATTTTAATATTAAATATATATTGTGAAATTTGTTTTTAACATTTAAAATATGTTATTCTTTGTCTTCTTTAATACTTTTTAATTTAAATTCTACCTTGTTATCAGGATTGCAAAAACACTGCTTTCTTATTTTTTCCTTTTTCTGTCAAATCTTTGTGTACACATTTAGTACTAACCTTTTGGAAACACTGTGATTTAGGTGTATTTCCTGTATAGAACATAGGGTAGAATTTGGATTTGTGTGCCAATTCTGTATTATTTTTTTTAAGGACTGAAAAAATATAACTATAAATACATTTCACTATGGAAAAATCCAGTTTTCCTAGCACCATTTTGAAAAGACTGTCCTTTCCCCACTGCATGTCCTTGGCAACTTTTTGAAGATAAGTTTGCTATAAATGTATAAATATTTCTGGGTTCTCCATTCTGTTCCATTGGTCTACATGTTTGTTTTTATGCCAATCCATGCTGTTTTGGTTACTACAGGTCTCTAGTATAAAGTCAGGTAATGTGATGCTTCCAGTTTCATTCTTTTTGCTCAGGATGGCTTTGGAGTTTGGTATTTATTATAATCTTCGTAGTCTGGGCTTGTTTGAACCCATCCTTCTTGAGAAGGCTTTCCAAATATTCAAAGGGAATTGAGTGTTATGATCTAAGTGTTTGATCACTTTGGTATCAGCCCTGGGGGTGCCCCAAGCCCAGAAGTGCTGTGACTCCCGGAGACTCCTGGTGGAACCACCTTGGTAGACTTGGGTAAGATACAGGCGAATTACCTGGATTACCAGGCCAAGTCTCTCTCTTCCCTCACTCTCTGTACTGCACTGCTGAAGTTGGGGAAGGAATGACATGGGCACTCCCTCATGGCCACCACAGCTGGGAGTGTGTCAGGTTACACCTGAAGCCAGCCCAGCCTCTCTCAAAGTCTGTGGTGACTGGGGATGCCCAGCTACCTCTCATATTTATTCAAAGCCCAAGGACTCTTTAACCAGCAGGTAGTGAATCTGGCCTGGACTGTGTCCTTTCCTTCAAAACCTTCTACCCAAGGGTGGGTCTGTAAGCAATACCTAGAAACTAAAGCCTGGAACCGGGGGCTTCAGGAGTCTGCTTGGTACTTTATTTTATTGTGGCTGAATTGCTATCCAAGCTGCCAAACAAAGTCCCCTGAACTCTTTTCCTTTTCCCACGTGGGAGACGGGTCTCCCAGAGCTGTACTGCCTGGAGTTGGGGGAGGGGTGACACAGGCACTGACTTGATCTCAGCTGCTGGTGTTTCACCGGGTGTTGTGCACCCCACTGGTTCGGAGCACCCACCTGCTCCAAGCCAGCACAGCTGCAGAACTTGACCAAGGATTGTAGTCTCTGTGGCTCCACTGCGCTATGAATTTATTCCTGGCCCCAGGCCACTTTCTGTCAGCCGGTGGCAAGGCTGCCTGGATCTCTGGTTTCTAGCGCTAAGGTAGAGGGTTTCCCTCTGGCCAGGCTGGTCTAAACGCTTTCTCCATAGGCACCGGCAGAATTCTGCCCTAAGCTGTGATCCCCTGTGACAGGGAGGCCCTGAGTCCCGCCAAGTCCCACAGTCACTTCGCTGTCCCCTCCCCCACACACGCATTCCCTCTTCACCTGGCGCTCGGGCCATGACGCAGCTGGGGGTGGGGGAGGGGGGCGTAGGCGACACAAGACTGTCTTCCTGCCCTCTTCAGTGTCTCTTTCCTTTGTAAAATGTTAAAACCAGGTACTGTGATCACTTACGTGATTTTTGGTTCTTCTGCGGGAGCTTTCTTGCATAGATAGTTGTTTAATTTGGTGTTTACGCAGAGAGCTCAACGCAGGAGGCTTCTATTCCGCCATCTTGCCTTGCCCCCTCTCGCGAGCACCTGTATTCTTTAACAATTCTTCAGGTGCTTAGTACGTATGGAAGGATCTCCGAAATTGTGTCCATCGGGCAACAAAAGGTAAAAGGAAATAAATCTGCCTGTGCTACACATTCTCCATCTCTTTTCTACTAATTTTTCCTTCTCAAATTGAAATTTAAGGTAGCCCAAAAATGGTCAGATACTTTGATAACGACACAGTCCATTCACATATTTTCTGTGAACCTTTCTAAAATTCATATAAATACTACAAGAAGTATCATTCCAGTCTTGAAGATTTTTCTTGGTATATAAGAAATCTCCTCCTCTTATTTATCATCTTGTAGTCTGTCTTTTCTCTGTATTCTCATAAAATGTTAGAAGTGGGGCTTCTTTCAGAAGGTTATTAAAGTTTGTTTTTGCTGTCCACTTGCCGGTAATGAGATTTCCTGGCGATTTAATTTTGATGTGTTTCCTAATTTGGATTTAATTCTCTTCATCCCAATGGATATCAGAATAAAGAACTACAGATTACTGTGAATGTGTACTGTAACTATGAAACTGATGATATTTTAAATAATTTAATATAGAGCACTTTCTACTCTGGTAATTTTAATGACCTATATCAACTGTAGGAATTTCAAAAATAGTTCCATGAAACAGAATTATTGCTTGGAAAAGGCAAGCTGTGTGCTATAAATTATCCCTTGGGCAGCATTACATTGGTTAGTATTCCATGACCCCAGCTGGCTCAAAGTTTGAATTATCAGCATACAAATATTGGACACATACAGCAGGTAAATTCACATTAATCTGTTACAGAGCTGACATGTAAAACCATGATCTCTGTGTATTAATTTATAGTAAATAAAAATAACTGTATTTGGGCCTGCAATGCTCACTTAGAGAAGGCATTGATTTTCTTCCTATGTAGAGACCTAAACGGGGTATACATATATTCTCCTTGAGATCAGTACCGTCAAGTCAGAGGGTATGAATGAGCAGGTGTTTTGCTGAAGACTCTCTTGAGCATGCTCATGTTTGTGCTGCAATATGGGCTACTACAACTCTCCCTTCCCTAAACTCACATCCTTTCTCCCCTCCCTCTCATACTCTAGCCCACCACCACCCCTGTTCCTAGTTCTAATTGGCACATCCCTGTTTGGTAATTCTGTGACATTAATACCTTGTACCACTCAATTCCTTGATCTAACAGCCATTCTTCCTTTTAAGTTGCATTTTCATGTGACCTATTAAGCATTGATTTTGTAGATTCACTTTCAAAAGGTAATCCATTTCCTGTTAAAATGTACTTCCAGACTCTTGGAGATAGCCTCTCTGTAGACTCCAACTACTGACAATAGGTAAAAATCAAACTTAATTAATCAGAAATTGAAATGTGGTAACTTTAAATCTGAAAAGAGAAACATATTTATGAATTGTGAAGTGGAGTTTATTATGATAGTTGGCCATTAAAGGAGCTGAGTTCAAGGCAGATGTCAAAGAAAACATCTTGATGACTCTTGTGAATAACCTGACTACTTTTTAAGTACCACACACATATTATCAACACAAAACAAGAAACAGTAGAGTATAAAAAGTGAGAAAGCAATGTTAGAAAAAAATTTCCCACAAGAGTGTTAATTTATAATGAGAAAATAATGATATCTCAGGCAGGAATAATTATTTTGGCATAAAATTAATTTTCTCTCTCCTATAGAGATTAATATCTACTTTTTCAGACTAATCTTACTCAACACAGAGACAGTATCTGTGGACTCCTTAAAGTCTCATTGGTACCATGGGCCATCAGAGCCTGGGAGAATATCTGTGACTTCTGTTTCAGAGAAGAAAGATTCCTAAGTGGGAGAATCTCAGCAACAGGAATTGGATGTTAAATACAAAAACACACATTGAGGAGAAAAGTAAAAAATGGGACTATTTACTTATTATTCCATTTAATATTTCAATAGAATTTTTACTATTTCTTTGGACTTCTAGCATCCTCTAGACTTAAAAATCTCATAGACCTAGTCAAATACATGAACATGGGGCAAGTAATCTTTAATAGTCCTAAATGTCCTGAATGTCCAACTCAGCTACCTAAGTTTATTATTATTTATTTGCATACATATTTTTTATTTCTTTATTTTTCCAATTTTACTACTTTAATCTCAATGTGATACTATTGTATATTTTGAGAAACCTGGGATGGGAGTAATCACACAATATAGAAAAAGAAATAATTGTAAAGTATGACTTGATGTAAAGGTTATGAAAACTTCTGAAACTTCTTTCCTTTCATATTATAAAAAAACACATTTCCCCAATTTCTAAAAATTATTATTTTGAGTGGAAATAATCTTGGATCTTAGCTATTAATACTTTGCCTCTATCTTATAAAAGACTATCTACAAGATGCAAAGAGGCTTGGAAAATAAGTTTATTTTTTATTTTTTCCATATCAATAGTATGAAATAGTGTAAAAATTAGTCAAGTCTATACTTATATCTTAGGAAAATTTAGAAGTTTAACAACAGCAAGCATTGAAAAATACAAGGGATAATGGAAATTGCCATATTTTATCAGTGGAGATGTAAATTTTGTACAACAAATCTGTATGAATTTATGGCAATTTGTTTTACTTTAGAGTGGTAGATATCCTCACAAGCCCCTTACCATTAGATCCCTAGAAATCTTCACTGAAGTGTCAGTTCCCTGAATTTCCATAGGGTTTACCTTCCACTCTCTGGATTACAAGTGTCTTACCAAGGTTTCTCACATCCTAGCCACCTTTTGTTCATCCTGCCTGATTTGCTTGATATCATTGATATAATAGTTTGGGTTTGATGTTCTGTTGGATATCTAGGTAGTCCAAATTTCTTCATGCTGTGACAAAGAGTGAGGCAAAACTATAAGAGTGTCTATTCCACAAACCCAAACTGTCTCTGATCCTTTATTCTAATTGAAATCAAAAAGAGCACATTTGCCAAATCAGTGGCTGGTATAATGTAGCTGAGGCATCATTAATCTTCTCTACCTATGATACCGGGTCTGGCACTGTAGCTGCAATTGGGGCTTCTTGCAGTACTCTACAGTAATGTTTCAAAATGCTTTCATTCTGTAGCAGGGCAGACTGTCAAATTAAAGAGACAGGCTTGGGACCACTAACACATCTTTCAGGTTTATAATGGCGGTGGTAATCTCCAACCATCCACCCTAAGAATGTGACTCTGGTCTTGATTAGCTGTGTTGGTTGTGGTGGGAGGGTAGTTTCAGAGGTTTCCTATAATAACTTTTACTTGAGGCTAATGACCCAAATGGGGGTTACTCTAATTGCTAAGGATATTGATTTCTCCATTCTGGGACTGAGAAAGTGACCACTGGGTTGGTCTGTAGATGGAATAAGCCATCTGTGACCTGGACTTTATCCAGGGCACCATTTTTTACTGGTTCTTGTTTGTCCCAACTTAAGCAGGAGGCCGTGATGATGTTGGGTCTCAAGCTATCCATGCCAAGTCAGACATTTTATTCACTGTTTCCCAAATGCCTATGTATTCTTTTTTCTCCAGAATGTAGTCACCTTTTTGAGTGTCTATAGATCCATCTGGGAAAGGATTAAAGGAATCACTATAGTCTCTTCTTGCAAAGTCTTTCCTTCCAGTGACCTGAACACCTTTTTCAGTCATTGGATTTCAAACTTAAAAAGTAGTTCAGATTTAGGAATTGAGCAAGGAATCATAACTATTTTGGGGGGACAGAGGGGACAAACACCTCAGCTTCCTGGTCTTCTATTCTTACCTTTTCCGGTTGTAAATGTTCAGCATCGCTGATATTGGCTGCTTTGCCTTACTCTTTTGTCTCTAGTAACACCAGACTCCATTAACCATTTGCTAACCTCTCTGAAGGTAGAGTCCAATTGTCCGATCCTCACACCCTCCTGGTCACTAAGGAAATTGCAGCCTCCGAGCTGTTGGCTTTTGAGCATGAACACTAGCTGAATTTTTCAGTGAAGCTGGTGTTCATCTTACCAGTACATTCCTGATGGCCTTGGTGAATGGCATGTCCCCTGGGCCCAAAGTGTAACATAATCTCCTGGTGGATTTTCCGGTCTCATGCAGCAGACCCATTTCAGCATGCCCACTTCTCTATGCCTTCCAATATTTTCTTTACCGTTTGACTGAAAATGCAGCCATTTTTACTCCACTCAATGTGAATCATTTCTTTCTGCAGCTTTCTAAGAGCCCCATTTAACAGCGGGTTTGGTTCATGTGATTCTTGCCAGAATGTTAAATCCTGTGTCCCAAGAAAGTGCCCCCAAGTCAAAGACTTGAAATCTTGTTTATCTAGTGTTACCTTAAAACACAGTATCTGAGCAGAACATTTTCACACATAGCACCATATACAGACCATTGTTTCAATTTATATATCACATCCTACGGTTGCCAGGTAAAATGTAGGACGTGCAGTTAAGTTTAAATTTTGGCTAATCAATGAATATTTTCTTGAGTATAAGTATATTCATGCAACATTTGAGACATATTTATACTGAAATGCTCATTCATTATTTCTCTGAAATCAAAATTTAACGGGGAATCCCATACTTTATTTGCTAAATCTGGTACCTTATGTTTCCTAGAATTCAGTGCTAAAATTCCACAGGTATGATTCCTTAGCTAAGCTTTTAAAAAGCCATCCCAAATGTTTATTGGGCCAGCAGCTTCAGATAATACTATATAGGACCAGTGTATCCTGTAGTGATTTCCCTATTACAATGCCTTTTTTACTGAAAATTGGGTCCCCTGTTTGAGGTAATAATCTAAGAATTGTCAGTAAATCTGGTACTCTGTGATCCCTTGCATAACGGAGGGTGACAGCACAGGTAAGTTCATATCTAGAATATGAATCAACCTGAATAAGGATGACTTTGCTGCGTTCTCCAGAATGCCCTGTTGCAATATGATCTGGCTGGATATATATGTCCATGGAGAATATTTTGGGAAAATGCATATAAAAATGTTAACATTGACTCAAAAATATTAAAAGGTTGTTAATTTTTTTCCTAATATATTTTCATTTTGTTAGATTCATTAAAAATAAATGAGAGCAGAGCTTCCACTAAGAATCTAATTCATGTCTATAATTTTTTAGGGAGTTTTTCTTTATCTTGTTTCCCTAGTCTACAATTCCTGAATTAACAAGGTGAAACAAAAGATGGTTGTTATTTTATTGTAATAAGAATTTCATGGTTTTTGCCTCATCATTGAAGCAAAGACAATTTATTTTTAGAAAAAGAAAACTTTTCATAATAAAGCATAAACTTTTAATACAATAAAAAACATAATGCTCCAAAATTCATAGCTGCTATTAATATATTATATGCATTAATGTGTGTTAATGTATAAGTTACTTCCAAGGTATAATTGATGGCTGACACTTATACATTTCACCTGCAGAAGTGTGTGGAGGTTTCATAGTCTTATTTTGTGTTATTGCTATTACTCAACTTAATAACTTCCAATGTAAATTTACATGTGAATAGCAGAATAGAGCCCAGTGGTCTTTATTTAAGAATGGCTAAATACTAAGTATTTATATAGCTTTCAGTTTATATAGCTTTTATTTCACATAATAGTGAGTGAAAAAGTGACTAAAATGTAATTATTGATACAGTTCTTATGTTGTTCAGTATTGAGTATCTTTGGACAAGTTACTTTATCTCTGCATTTTAATTTACTTAATTAGAAAATGAAGCTGTTAATAGCCCTCATCTCTTAGAATTACGAGAATTAAAGAGATAATCCACAATAAGTACTTATAACAGAGTTTTGAAAATAATAGGCACTCTATAAAGCTGTTATTATAAATATTATTTCTTTCTAAGTGTTCTAAATTTTTAAAATCCATTATAGAATTTGATTTATAGAAAAGGAAAAATATTGTTATTAACAATATTAATTAACAATATCTTATTTAGTTTATTTAATATTATCAATATCCATCTGGGAAAAATTGTCACATCTGTGAATATACATAATATATAATTGTAACTCACTTTCTATATATTTTAAAAGGCTGAGCATGGAAAATGTTATCAGAAGTGAAAATTAAGCAACAAGATAGTGAAGTCTAAGAACTGTCAGATGGGGAATGGAGTTTGGAATCTAGTTCTATCGACCCCTAAATTAGAACCAGAATTTTGGTTTTAGCATTCCTCACTATTTTTTCCATCAAATTAGTTCTTCAACAATTTCCAGGTAGCTCCATGCATTAGCTAGGAGCATTAGCTAGGATTCATGCATTAGCTAGGATTCTTAAGTAATTGGTGTCTAGGACAGTTCCTATTGTTGTATGTATGAATAAGATTAAGAATTTTTACATCCCCTTTTTCTATTGTTTTCTTTACTCTCTCTTTTTGTCCATATTCATGTCACTAAAAGGAAGTCCCCTATCTCAGCACATACCTGAAGATGAAGGTGGCAACTTCAAGAAGGTAGGGAAGATTCAGAATGGCTGAAATCTGGAAGCAGAGATCTCCACATGTAGACAAGAGTTGCCAAAAGGAAGGAAAGGAAAGGTAGGTAATGGAGGAAAGACAGAGCTTCAGAAGGTACTGTGGGAGGAAAGACCAGCAGAGCAGACAAAACCCCGAACCCAGCAGCCAAAAAATACAGGAGGAGTAGGCCAGAGTTTAGCCAGAACCTGATATGAAGAAAGTGCAGCAGAAAGTGAAAATGTTTGCTGAAATGTAGTCAGGAGACATGGCAGCAGGTATTCTAAGATGAGGCAAAAAGGAGTGGAGATATACTCTGGCCTAGAGATTTGATTTGCATCACACAAGTCTGCCCAGGTGTGATAAGGGATTCAGAGAAAGATTGCACCTGGGATGGTGATTGTGTGTTGGTGGAGGATGGATTGAAAGAAGATGAACAGAGCCCAGTCTTAAAGTGGCTAGAATATTGGGCCGACTAGGAAAAAGTTAATTAAGAACAGGGTAGTAAAGGGTAACAAGCTGGAAACTTTATCTCAGGTAGAAGACATGACCCTAATTCTTACTCCTGGAGCATAACGTGAACATGGCAGAAGGCTGACTTGGTACTCAATTTCCTATCAAATTAGATCACCTTAACTAGCGGAGGAGAGAATGGCTCACAAAGCCCATATTGGGACTGAGTCTGCTAGTCTAGGTGACCTGATTTATGTTAATAAGAATGAAGGGGTGTGAAGGCAGGGAACCAGGAAGTGTATGACAACTTGTCAACTCTCTGAATCGGCTTCACTCTCTGAGCAATAGTCACTCAACACATGAAGCAAAATGTGTTATTAAGTCAGACCTCTTTGGATCACAAAGAAGATAGTAAGGCAACAGTAATAGAAGCAGAGAAAAAGCAATAATCAAGTGAAAAAATAATTGGGTTGCCTGAGGCAAATTATATGACAGATCCAAATGGCCCTCATTATTTCTCAGCTGGAAAATTCCAATAATTTCCTAAATTGCCTTCCCATCTTAAGTGCCACACTATTCAAATTTATATTATAAGCCATTTCCAGGTGACAGACTAAAATGTTTCAAGTGTAAACATTGTCACTCACTTCAGTCTTCTTGGTGGAAATACTAACAACTCTTCATTGCTTAATAAGCTCTTTCTCTTTGCATTCAAATTTCTGTACAGTTTAGTTCCAAACCATGCCAATGCTTCTTTCCTGGTACTTATTTTTCAATATTTTAATATTGAACATTTAAAATAATTAAAATATTTAATATTTGAATACTTTGTTTTGAATATTTCCTTCTTATTTCTAACAAGTATGCCCTTCTTCAAGGACTTGCTTATTTAACTGTCCATGTGATTCTGGTGGGCCGCCAATCTGAAGACCATGAATTTTTAACAACAGGGGTGCCACATAGCCCAAGTTAGGCCAACCAGAGTCCCTTTCCCTTTCCCAGGAGGAATGTCCCAAGAATGCAAGGACGCACAGGGATCAAAATTGGTTGGAACTGGGTTGTGTGAGAAACGCTTGTGATCCTCAGATGTTCAGAGAACCTGTGTCTTTCATCATTCTTAATGTTCTGAATCTTCTATCTTTCCCTGGGCTCTTCTACTCAACACTTAGAGCTACCTAATATCCTTTTAAGAAAATCCTTTACACACACACACACACACACACACATACACACACACACACACACACACTGTTAGGTTTAAGAATAGTAGTAGTTTCTATTGTTCACAACCAAAGAATGCTAACCTAATAGTAAAGGGCTGATAGGTGAAGAAGATTAGGAAAAGATTAGAAAAATCCTCGGGAATTATTAGCATATGTACAATTAATCATCAAGCTAAAATGTCGTAAAATGCAATAGGACATTAATATTTTAAATTAGGAAATTAAGAGGCCAGAATACACAGTGGAAAGCTGATAAATAAGGTTGTTGACTGGGCCACCTGGAATTCTGAGGATGAAATTCTTAGAACTAGTAGGTATAGCAATAGATGGATAAATTAAACTGAAGTTGCTCCTCTTTGTAGGTTATATATGGACTTTCTATCTAATATTGAAAAATTCATATTTTCACTGATAGGGCATTACCTATTAGAGAAATTTTACTATGATCACTAATAAAAATTTGCATATATTCTCAAAATGATTAATCCTAAGTAGTGCTCCTCCATACCCAGTCAACATGTGAAATACAAGGGAGATAGAATGGAGATTGAAAAAGACAAAGATTGTTCATAACACTGGTAGTTACTGATATAGAAATAAGAGATAGTGATTGAATATAACTGACAAGTCCAAGGATAAGGACACCAAGGATTATTTTTTCTACAAGGCAAGAAAAAAAAATGTTTAGGAGTAGTTTGTTTAATTCTGAAATTCACTTGTAAAATTTTATATGAAAGTCACCATGTTACATTATCCTATAGGTCAGGGAGTAGCGTACACTTCATTTTATCGTCATTAAAAAGAGACAAAATTTCCATATTCATTGAATCCTATGACCCATGGGCATCATATGAGAAAAATATTTACAATTACAGCTTCCATGGTAGAAAAAAATAATAATGGTGACAAGAATAAAGTCTTCAAGAGCAGCTCAATTTACATTTTTCATTTTCTTTTAAAAAAGTAGTGTGGTACCTGTTTTTTTCTTTTTTTTTCAGAACGATTATCAGGCAAAAATGACTACATTCAAAGCATAGAACTTTATAACTTAGAAGTCTGAAATTTGTGTCACTCATTGCAAATATCTCAATCTGTTAATCATTCACAGTAAGAGAGGCATTCATGTAATTCTTTAAGAACCAAGATATTTGAAGCTTTCCCCATATTTGATGGATGTGACAATCAAAAAAGAAAAAATCACTCTGAGGTTAGTTTATTTCATGCAACATTTGTAACTCCACTAAGAGCAAATAGAGTGTGTGTGGATACAATCTCTATATCTGTGCATTCCCTAAGGCATTCCTCTATCCCCAGGAGTTGAGAGATATGATGTCAGGATTTTCCATGTTTTTGTTCTCTAACAAGGTATATGGCTCATACTGCATTTTCAAAGAACAAAAGAAAATATATGGTGATAATCTAGATATATAATATCCTTAGACAACCCCACGACTAACTTAATACAATAGTTGTAATGGATATATGCATAAGAAATGCATCAATGTTATACTCGTTAAGATTTTGTTCTTTTAAAAAATATCACTTTATAGAAGTTAGATATTGGGGCTAATTGTTTTTCCTTTTTAAATAATAATGATTTTCAAAGTAAGTCTGCTTTCCTCATTTACGTTGAAATATTCCTAAATTACATTATTTTACCTGTGATTCCAACCGGATGGAGCTTTTTTACTTTACTTTTGGTGTTTTGCTTAGAAGAACAAAAGATTGGGAAAAGCAGATATGGCAGGGGATGGGAGGAGTGATTTCTAAGATTAAAATATGTTTTTCTCTGTTTAAAAATACTCCATATCTTTTATTTCTAGGGGAATTAGAATCCACATAAGTCTGAAGTAGGTATTACCTGCTGGATGCTTAGAATAGCATTCTGCCCCTTTCTCCTCGTATTAATGTATTCCAAGGCTACGTAACGTTTTAAAAGTAGATTGAATACTTTGACGTTCTATATCCAAGGATGGTGATCTGCCTTATTATTTTTGGAGAGGATTGAGAGGAAAAGCCTCTTTATTTTACTCTGTTAAAAAAACTCCATGACTAAAGGTTTATAAAGTTATAATTTTTTATATTTAGGAACTACTTTAAAATAATTCAAGTTGTAAAAGATGGTGATTCCTCTTACCTCATTCAGTGCTTCCTAAGGCATACTTACCTCTGTTCTTCATTTAAAGAAGTTGTAAAATGATTAAGACTTTCAGGACTATGGAGCCAGAAATTAAATATGGAAAAAAGATGTGTAACTCTTACTCTCAGAGAGATGTCTGTCTCTCCAAAGAGGAGACTGTAGCCTTTCCTTTCTCAATAAGACTTCTTATGGTCAAATGAAAATTATTTAACTTTTTTGTTCCTACATCTTCCTACCTACCCAATTTGGTAGAATTTCCCTTGATAAATATTCAGAGCATTGAACTCTGAGTTCCACTTCTACAGAGTTAGCAAGATGTTAGGAGTCATTGCAGGAACATATGAAGTCAAAATGTCTTTATCCAATGTCCTCTTCTTCACAACCTATGCAGGAGAATGTGACAGCTTCATTTATTCAAGATAAACTGGAAAGTCTATCAGAGTACAAGTGTGAGGGACGCAACACTGAGGAGAACAAGGACACTTTCTAATCAGTGAAGGTTTTTTCTTGCCTGCGTCTTGGTGAGGTAGCTTTGCATCCCTCTAATTATTAGATGGAAAGTTTGTCTTTACTCCAAGGCCATTTAAAGAAATACAGGTGAGTTCTTTGCATTTTTCTTCCCTTCCTCAGGATTTAATGAACTTGGGGTAAGCTTAATAAAATCCTGAACACCTGGGAAGAGACAGTTTGCTCGGGTACACTATGAAGTGCCTGGTGACAATCTGTTTATTTCCTATTTGTGAGAATCAGTGATTTTTTGAACTTGTCCTTTTGCATTTACGTTTCAATGCTTTCATGTGATTTAGCAAGAGATGTTTGGGCAAGATCTTTAAGAGACTTAGAGGAAGTTGAATTTCATACCGTATGCAAGGAAGATTAGCATTCCAATCTTTGCTTTAAAGGAGAATCACAGAGTTATTATAGAGTTTGCTAAGTATCACAGGTGACACACAGAGAAATCTTGCACTTTTGGCTTCCTGCCATGTCCTATGAATAAGGAAGTATGTCATGGTTATTTACAGGACTTTATCCTTTGAGAGATTTTATTCTAGTTCACCTTAACTTATTACTGATTCATGGGCTGATGTTTTGGGCTAAATGATGATGGAGGAGCAATATTAGCTGTGAGGCTGGCAAAATCTGCTGCACACTCTTCCATCATCTCACCCTTTTGGAACTTTGCTGTCAAAAAATCCACTCAAGACACTGCCTTTCTTTTATCTCTTCCATCCATTCCCATGAGTACTTTTTCCTATTAAGGTCAGCTGGTAAAAGGACTGCATCTACTATTCATGTGCAAAAGTGCACATGAATGTCATTTGCACTTTACAAGGTACTGTGTTTTTATTAAATACCAGTCCATCAAATGCCTTGAAGTTCATCTCTTTTTCTATTCCCGACTGGCAGTTGGCTTCAACTTAGAGGGTAGAAATGGACCTACTCAGCATTCCTGGCTCAAGGAGTCTTAGACTAGACGGCAAAAGTAGTTTAGCTGCCAAGACCCTTTGGCCACTTCGTCAGAACAGCATGTAATTATCTACTTAAGAGCTACCCCGGGGTATGTTGAAACCATCATTTCTAAATGTGGACTTATAATTATCTCGGTAGATAGGTGTTTATTTATTGAGTCTTACCCCTTTAGAATTTGAGGTGACTATGCAAGTGAAATACTTTGAAGCTAATTCCAGCCAATTTCCTGAGACTTTATTTCTCTGAATAATAGAAGCACAGACTTGTTTAAAGACTGTGCATAGAGTCCAGCAGATAAGAAAGTTGTACAGATAGATAGTCTTTAGTATGCATAGTATAAAAACAAAGTGGGAATTCTTGGTTTATGGAAACTAAACACAAACTACCATTTGCATATTGTTACTATGATCCTGACTTGGACTGCTGCTAGCCCAAACTTCTTCAATATAAGAAGAGCATTTTCCCATGAAACCCTAGACTACTTTGGAACTTTTGTTGAATTCAGTAGCAGCAGCCTAGCCTACTAAATACCAATAGAAAGTACAAACAAACATACAAAAACTGTGTGTAACATTTGTGTCAGAGTGATTTAACTAGTTTGTATGATAAATTCTCACTGCTTATATGTTGAATGGCTGAGAGTAGGTAATAGAAGGAAGAGGGTTACACTATCAAATTATTACACACAAAAGCAACTTTTTTTCAACATCACCTTGATTTATTTTCCTAGTATTTTTTTTCCCTCAGATGGAAAAATAATTTCATCAAGAAAACAAATGTTTCTGCCAACGTGAAGGAATTTCATGTTTTAATGCTTTCATTTAAAAAAAATCGACATTAAACTAGGGCATGCTCTGCCTCCTCCCCCCACCCACCCCACCATTTTGTTGACAACATTTTTTTTAATCCATTGGCAGAAAACAAGATATTTTTTCTCAAATAGAGTGATAATATTTTATTGCTGCTTGGTTTAGTAGATATTTTTCTCAATTGGGAAAAAAATTCTAGGTGAAAAAATGTACTTAACAAGAAGTAGTTTACATGGTCATAACATTTAAATTGCTGCCAAAAGAAACAAATGTAAAAAAAAAAAAAAAGTAAATGTAAAATATCACATAACTTCAAAAAACTTACCTCAATTGTCTATCATTTATCATGTGCTATAAGTCAACTTCCTAAATAAGATTACAGTCCTTTATTATAAGCCTCTAGTGATACTATGGTATACATTTAAAAAATGCTACTACAAAAATTTTCTTTTCTTTTTGTTTTTGCCTATTGTGTACTTAGCTATCGATAATTTTTGAATAAAAAGCCTACAGTGGTATAAATGCAATAGTTAAGTGATCCTGTTTGCTGATGTCCTTTTCATGCTCCACAGAGGTGGCATCTTTAATCCAGCATCTTCTCCTGTTTCTTGCCTTCCTTTTTCTTCTTCTTAGATTCTGCTACAATTAAAAAGAAAGAGAAAGAGAAAAATAAATGTTAAGTTCTAAGCTGCAGGGAGGAAATAGCCACTTTTCTCATAATTGGCCAGGAATGAAAAGATTAGATGGATAGGCAAGTTGCTTGCTATTGGCAGTTCTGTTGGTAAGTTGAGAAAAAACTGTGTGCCTGTGTGTGTGTGTGTGTGTGTGTGTGTGTGTGTGTGTGTGTGTGTGTCTGCTTTTGCCAAGAGAGTGCCCATGAGAGTAGGCAGGAGGAACACATTCTACCTGTGCGAATATCAATAAATGCCTGGTATCTTATTGGTTGCCTTCATTTGATGTGCAAAATATTGTCTTGGGGTCCTACTTAGAGCAGAACTACAACAGGCATTCCTTAGAGAGTTACTCAGATCATTGCTCAGTGGAGAGCTACAAGAGCTTTGCTTGCCCCCTCACTTCCCACATTCCCGTTCCATGAGACTGCTTATTAGCATATTTTCTGAGCAAACAATTTCATAGTCTTCCATGCTGGGTCTGCCTCTGCTTATGTATCTGGGCAGCTATTTATCTTGGGAGGACTGGTTACGAACCACATGCGCTCTGTCTGGAACTTTACCTAGACGGACTCCTAGTCTTGGGTGAAGCAAATGGAATATGCCAACCTGGGCTAAACTAGATAAATAAATCACTGAAGATTTAATTCAAAAGACTCCATTCTTTTCCATTCAATCATCTTGCTGCCTCTACTTTCCTAATAGGAGAATGAAATAAATAATAGGACACATCTAAATTGGCTCAAAGATGACAACGATCAGAATCGCTGGGCTGGCAAGTGAGAGAATATTGTTAAATATTTCTAACCACTCCTTCTAGGAGTGGTAGAAACATACTGGTTAAGTACAGCCTCTGGAGCCAGTCTGCCAAAGTTTTAATCCTGCCTGCATCACTAAATTACCAGGAGACTTTGGAAAAGCTAATTAATGTATTTGTGTCTCATATTACTCGCTTTTAAATGGGCATATAAATAGTAACCTATCATATCATAGTAACCATACAGTTTATTTCCAAATAAAATGAGTTCTATAAAATCCACTGAGAACAGAATGTGATACAATAGAATGTACTTAAGAAAGGTTATCAGTTATCATTAGTGTGATAACAGGCGAAGAACAAGAGGTCATTAATCTCTATAATTAAAATTGTTTATCATCACCAAGACATTGACTGAGCAGGTCAACTAATGTGCTAAGCAACAGAGGATCACTGGGACATGAACAATGACCAACAAGGATCAGGGCATTGCTCGTTGGAGCATGGCGCCTGTGTCCAAGAGGGCGGTAAGACCTGTGATGAGAGAAGATGTGATATGATGCCAACCAGAAATGTTGTATTAACACATTCCCAGCTCATATTCAAACAGAGCTGGAAACTTTTCCATTCTTATACACTATCCTCAGTAACTCTTAAAGTAGGTCTCAAAGTCCATTACACACTAGGCAAAGTAGTATTTCTGTTTACTGAAATTTTCCTAAGCTTCCTTTACTCAAGTTTTGAGGGTGTATCATATGTAATTGGGTCAGCAGTTTCTAAGCTTCTGCTAAATTTTTGTCCCAAAATTTATTCATTCTGTTCATGCCTATCCTCAGCTTTCCTCATTTCTATACTGAAAGATTTAATCATGTTTTCATAAATGTCCCTTTCTTTCAACCTATGAAAGGGGAGATAACACAGAATTTCCAAATCAAAGATACCTGTAAGGTCAAAGAAGATATTCTGTTTAATTTCTCAACAAATAGCCAGTGTCTGAACATTTAATAATTCCCAGACTTTGGTTGACATTATAAGCAATAGCTGTATATTAGGATGGAATCCTCAGGGAACAATCCAGGAGGTCAACTGAGACGGACCTACCTCTGGCTTCTCTGGTCTCAGTTTCCTCATATCCCTTACAGGGGAACCCTCAGTATTTGTAAACTTTAGATCTCCAGTAGTGCAAATGTTTGTGGCAGTAATTTTCTTACTTTGACTAGCATGTCCCTATTTCATACATAAGTCTGAGTAGATGCCATACTAATCAGGTTTTTGTATCCATTTATTTCATAAAAATTAAAGTTATTCTGAATATTGGACACTATTTGATCTATCAAAAGTAGATTTGTCCATTTCAAGGAACACTTCAGGTAATGGGCATCTTTCCCCAAATTCTCCTCGATAAAGGTAAGAATACACCCTCTCTCTGTTACTGGAGCCTGACATTTATTCTTTCTTTATTAATTGACAGCATTCCAAATACCAGGAAATCAACCACTGGCCTATTAATCTGACCAATGACAATCAACTGAATTTCCTGACACTACCAGCCAGTCATCACAGCATTGCAGACACGCTGCAGGCCTTGAGTCCACTCTGGGGTCAGTCTAAATAGAAATATGGGGAGTCTTCAGTAAACAGCAATGGAAAGAGGGAAGAATTTGCATTTGTAATAAGGTCAATTTGATTTGTCACATAAAAAGTGTCTGAATTTTTGCAAATAAAATCAGGTCAGTAATACTGCTTCCCATCTGAAGCAGTTTTTTTCTGACTTTTATGTACATTTAACTGACAGAATAAATGAACTTTGTCACTGCTTTCTCCGTGGCTTCAAAAATATAACAACCTCTCAATCTTTACCTAGTATACATGAAGCATTTAAAAGAGTATTTGGAATCTATGCTCTAGAAAGAACCTGGACCAACTCCGTTATGTAACAGATGAATAAAGAGAAACATTCAGATCACCTCCCTTTACTTCAGTCTTCATACTTAACGCTTATTTCAATTACCCAAGAACATCCTTTTCTCTCTCTCTCTCTAGTCTTTGGCCTTTAAACCCACTCTTCATTCCATCGACCCCACACTTTCACTACTACCTTTGTCCTGGTAGTGCCTCCCATCCTTCAGGTACCAGCTTTGACATCACTCCTTATTTGTTGACCTCTCCGTTGAGTTAGCTTTTCCCTTTACTTCTCTTATGAGAACCCTTAGCTCTACTATTGTAACTGCCACCAAAGTATAAGCTGTGAGAGCGCAGAATCTCTACTCAGTGTTGTATCTCCAACCCATAACACAGTGCCTTGTGTATAGTAACTAATGAGTAAATCTTTAGCGAAATGAATAGATCCATAACATGACAAGAACACATCTCGCCCATCTTCCTTATGGAGGTTCCTTGAAACCCTCTTTGCTTCTTTTCTTCTCAGCCTTTACACATTATGTTCTCTCTGCATGCCTGAGTGTTTTTCCTCCTGCTATCCCAACTTTGCTCAACAAACACCTACCCATCCTTAAGATTTAGGCTCAATTTTACTTCCCCAGGGAAGCCCTCCCAGAACTCCCAGACTAAGCAGGTTCCACTCACAGACTCTCCCAATGTGCCTCTCATTGTATTTTCCAAAATTATAACTGAACTTTAATTTTGTTCCTGATTATTTAAGATACATCTTCCCCTTCCTACGAGGGTGGAGACCATATCTGTCTTTTGCATCTGTATTTTCAGTGCCTGATACATGACAAGTGCTTATGAAATACTGGTTGCATGCAGAGTAAATAAATACTTGAATGGGAAATAAAAATAGTTAACTATTACTGTATAGAAAAGTAGTATCTCTCAAGGAAAGTAAGGAGTGAAAATTCAATCAGAATCTTGCCATATTTAAGTCTACCTTTAAAAACGAAAATTTTATGAAGAAATTACTAACACACATACATGAAATTTATCTACATTTCTTACCAATTGTTTTTATCTTTAAAATAAAGGTCTGAATGAACTCTGTAGGTAAAACTAATGTCCCATTTTAGTGGCCTTTCAAGGTTACAGGGAAAGGAATGTTTACAATGAGCATGAGATTACAAATTGGCCGGGTGCTATCACTGGGTAAAACCAAGTGCTTTGTGTTGAAGTCACAGAGCAGCTACTATGGAAGGTTTTGAACACAACAGAATCCCCACCCTGATGTGAAACAGCAGGGCACCTTAGTTCACACTGAACAGAGCAGAACTAGGGAAGGAAGTATACACATGCCACACATCAAATAACACCCCAGGCTACAGGTCCTTCTTCCCCACCTGGATCGAGACTGCAAAGCAGAAATGGCTGCAAACAGGAAAGGAACCATTGTCAAAACATGACAGCAAAGGGCACCTGCCTGAGAGGTGCCTTGTTCTGTTCCTACCAGGACATCACTACACTGGAATCTTACAGCTGTGCCTTTGGTATGTTTTAACTTCCCAGGTTTGCAAACATTCATCTTTTCTTTGGCCCATTTTTGAGTTGATAGAGGATAGTATTCTTTATTATTGGGATATAAAGATCAGAGAGGATGTTAGGTGTGAAAAACTTTGTATTATTTGAATAGAAATAGATTGTTTTGTTTAAGATAGGTTTGAAAGTGTTTGGAAAGTCCTAAGACTTTCCTAAGAAAAAAATACCCTGGAAAGGATTCAGGCTTCTATCTTATTTTAGAATATTACAGGGATATAAATGTTTAGGTTATATATATTGCCTTTGCCCCACCTGAGACAGAGCTACAAGTATGTCCATCCCCCAGACAGTGCACACTGCACCCATTAGGTGTGAATATACCCATCTCCTCCTCCCCTCACCCACCTGCCTGACACCCAATGAATGTTACTACCATATGTGCACATATGTGATCAATTAGTACCAATTTGATGGTGAATATATGTGGTGCTTGTTTTTCCATTCTTATGAAACTTCACTTAGTAGAATGGGCTCCAGCTCTATGCAGGATAACACAACAGGTGCTAGTTCACCATTGCTTTTTGTGGCTGATTAGTACTCCATGGCAGGAGTCCTCAAACTACGGCCCTCGGGCCACATGCGGCCCTCTGAGGACATTTATCCAGCCCACCAGGTGTTTTTGCCATTGCTGCCTGTCCTGCTTAGCAGCCAACTCATCTCAGGCCCACAGTGCGCATGTGTGGAATGTGCGCCACACTCTCCAACTGTCTGAGGGACAGTGAACTAGCCCCTGTTTAAAAAGTTTGAGGACCCCTGCTCCAGGGTATACAATACCACATTTTATTAATCCACTTATGTGTTGATAGGCACTTGGGTTGTTTCCACATCTTTGCAATTGTTAATTGTGCTTCTATAAACAATTGGGTGCAGATGTCTTTTTTTATAGAATTTCTTTTTTTCCTTTTGGTAGATGCTCAGTAATGGGATTGCTGGATCAAATGGTAGATCTACTTTTAGCTGCTCCAAATCAGGACATTTTTAAAGCTCCAGATATGTATTGGCAAATTCATTTCTTGAAAGGAAGTACTAATTTAAATTTTTTTCAGTAATTTATATGAGAGTCTATCACAGCAAACTTACTCTCAAAAGGCAAATAATCAAACAACATGCATCATCTTTTTTCCATCTTTTCACAGGCCTTTTACGAACAGGATTGCCATGCAGTTGGTACAAGTAAACATCTACTCCCATTCTCAATATTAGGAAAATCTGGGAGAAATAGGGTCGAGACAAAGACATCAATTTAAAATTTTTTCAAAGACCTTGAAGGGAGATTTTTTCCCAAGAAGTAGAAGGGTTGAAAATTCTGGAATAAGCTTGTCTCTTTCTCTTAGTAAAAGGTATTGCTTTGATTACTTGTTTTTAGATTGTCTGTTGCTGTGTATACAGAAAAACTAAAAAGAAAATTAGGAGATCAAATGATTGAGGATTAAGGGGATCCCAGATTTTAAATAAAGTGAGTCAGTCTCTGCTTGCTACTAACTTAAATAAAGTAACTTTGGGTCATTAAAGCAATGGGAAGCAACACTGATTAGAATAGTAATATGAGATTTTCCACTTCTAAGAGGTAGAATTTATATTAGAAGGAGGCTAAGAACACTCAGAAATGCACATTGCAGATTCAGAGGTCAAAGAAGCCAGCAGGACAGAAACAGCTGGAGGCATGCCGTAGAGATAACTCAAAGTTCACTTTTGGAGACTTGTTTAAGTAAATCACAAGAACTCATTAAAGGAAAAGGATTATATCACTGTCAAACAGTACTATCACAACATAAATATGTCCAAAAGCCTGGATATCACCAAGATCCTTTTAATGCTTTGTGAACCTATTTAAAAGTAACTCGCTTGTGCTTAAGAATTAGCTGCCTAGATACCTAGAAATACCCAATCCCTCAACCCAAGCCAGCTGTGCCCCAGAAATGATAATAAGCCTTGTCAAATTGTGAAATGTACAACTCAGTGATCTAGGTATTAGAATCCAGGTACAAGTTGGCTAGCTTCCTAACATGGCACCATCCATTCAATTTCCAAGTATTCCCATTTAAATTGGAGTAGCATATATTCAGTGCACAATGCAAGAAGACATTTCTATTTAAAAATCCAAAGTATAATCTTTTAAAAATTTGCTCAAAATATTATTAACAGATAAAGTTCAGTCCAATACTTATGTAATAATTTTGTTGTCTCTTCTTTGACTTTTTAATTACAGTACCACTTGCTCCATTTCATCAGTTATGGACTGGATGCATTGACATCATGTATGGAATTCATATACACATACATGCACACACAGAACTTCCCCTCAGTGCTACCCACATGCTGGTACCTCTCTGTCTCCATACCTGTTCTTTCCCTCACTGTCCACCTTCCTTTTCACTCGCCAACTCTCTATTTCATAACAGTACCTCCTGCTAGTGCTTAACTATCTGCCCTTCTGCAGCCGTTTGCTTTCTGACGCCAAGTATATGTGAATAAAAGACTGTGTACATCTGTGTCTAGACATAGACTAAACACGTCTGGACCCTTTCAGGAACCTCTGTTTTGCCCCCCTTCGTTTGGGGGTTGGTCCAGCATTTAACTGCATGTCCTCAAAATAGGAAGTTCAGCTGTAAAAGCGCTAGTGAATAAAGTTGGTTTATGTGAAGATTTAGTGGAGGAGAGGAGGAAATTATTTCATCAACCACACAGAGAAAAATTAATAAAAGTCCCAAATATGTCAGTTATTTTTCAAAGCAACTCATCCAACATCAGTAGACTAATTCCTCTCCCCACTCCTCCCTATCCACTTTTCAGCCTCTTTCCCCTCCTGTCTCTCCATTTCCCCTTCTTTTGGGGAACTGGACACAAGTGAGTGTGTTGGGGTCTCTTAGTGATCTGCCCTCTCTATATACATGTGTGTACATACATATATACATGTGTATGTACATGTGTGTACACACATAAATATATATGTATACTAGGTACTATTTTTAGCTCAATACATCTGTGTCATCCTTATTTATTAGCTACACCTATTTAGACACATACACATACAGACACATACACTGAAAGCCATAGATGGGAAATTAATACTTGGGTTCCTTCTTTTCAGCAAAATCTTCTGCCCTTCCTCAATCTGTAGGCCACTCTCAAGACCTTGCACTTCTTGACTATGACATCCCCACACCACACAGATTCACTGACTTCTTCCACTCCCAAACAGGAAAGAATAACAACTATCTCCAGGACATTCAAATGTTTAAGAGCTTATTCCTGCAGTAATTAGGGCACAGGTAGAAAATATGCCTTAGTATGAAATATTATGAATTATATCATTAGCTTTTGTCATAATTGAAATATATTATTATAATCAGTAATAAGTAATTTGCACTTAACACATCATTATTTTCTACTATATCTGATGTTTACTGTAATATAGTATGACCATGCTACTGGGAAATCAAATTATGATTTATGGAAAAGGAGGACAGCTTGAACTCTAGAATATTTAAAATTTCAGTAGATATACCTTCATAAATCTTTCTTGTTTGCTCCCGAGTGAATTTTTTTTTTTTTTGCTTCAAAAAAGACAGAGATAGAGATAGAATCAATGGGTTAAAATGTGTCTCTCCTAAATATTCATGCTGAAGTCCTATCCCCATACTTCAGAGTGTGAACATATTTGGAGGTAAAGTCTTTACAAAGATGATTAAGTTAAAATGCACTCATCAAGGTGGGCCCTAATCCAGTCTGATTGGCGTTCTTACAAAAACAGGAAATTTGAACACAGGCACATACAGTGAGGACATAAGGAGAAGACAACCCTCCATAAGCCAAGGAGAGAGGCCTCACAAGATAACAACCCTGCCCACACCTTGATCTCGAACTCCCAGCCTCCTGAGCTGTGAGAAAATAAGTTTCTGTTCTTTACGCTACTGAATCTGTAGTACTTTGGTGAGGGCATCTCTAGCAAACTAATACATCCATGAATTAGATTGCAGTCTATATTTCACTTTTGTAGATTTTTTCAAAGCATCCCCATTAGCTATAGAAGTGTAAAATGCATGTGAGTTTTTTATTTGTCCTCCAGAATTAAAGAAAAGTTTTAAATTTTAAATCACTTAATGATGTGACTTTGGTACTAAGTAATGTAGGATTTTACATGTCCTAATGGTTTCACAAATGCTGATTGCATTAATCCTTTCACACACCTCCACACCTGTCCTCCCAGTCCTAAGCAGGTGAGCTAGGTTTCCCCACCACGTGATTCCCCACCACCTAATGCTTTCTCCCACCCCCACAGGCCCAGAGCTCTGTCTACAGTAGCAGCAGCAAAGGGTAGATCCAAAGACCTTTCCCTGTACTTCTCTACACTTCCTTTTTAGTTGTGGGGGTTTTTTTTAGGTTTACTGCAGAGTATTAAGGGGGTACAAAAGTTTTGGTTACATAAATTGCTTTTGTACAATTTGAGTCAAAGTTATAAGTGTGCCCATCACCCAGATACTGTGCATTGTACCAATTAGGTGCGAATTTACTCATCCCCTCTTCTGCCCTCCCACCTGCTTGATTTCCAATGAGTTTTATTTCCATATGTGCACAGAAGTGTTGTTTAATTAGTTCTAATTTAATGGTGAGTACATGTGGTGTTTGTTTTTCCATTCTGGTGATACTTCACTTACAAGAATGGTCTTCAGTTCCATCCAGGTTAGTACAAGCGGTATTAGTTCACCATGGCACAAGAATAGAGACATAGACCAATGGAACAGAACTGAAAACCCAGATATAAAACCATCCTCGTATAGCCATCTGATCTTTGGCAAAGCAGACAAAAACATATGCTAGAGAAAGAATCCCTGTTCAATAAATGATGCTGGGAAAACTGGATAGCCACATGTAGAAGACTGAAACCAGGACCCACACATCTCACCACTCACAAAAATTAATTCATGATGGATAAGACTCTTAAACCTAAGGCATGAAACTATAAGAATTCTAGAAGAAAATGTTGGAAAAACTCTTATAGACATCAGCCTGACAAAGAATTTATGAAGAAGATCCCAAAAGCAGTCACAGCAACAACAAAAATAAATAAATGGGACCTGATCAAATTCTCTACATATTTTAGACGGCAGTCTTCATAGCAGCTTAATTTATTATTCTTGTGCATCTGGGTGAATATCTGAAAATAATGTTTTCTGTTTTCTATAGAATGAAAATGATTTCAAAAGCCTCACGAGAGAGTGCTGTGAATGCGTTAACCTGCAGTAACTATCTAGGCCTTGCCTCCTGAGTGCACGAGCGATAGGACACCAGGAAGATGTGCACCTGCTTCTTGCCTTTCGGATTCCTGATGAGTACAAGTATCATTTACTACTCTAGAAAAAACCTTTGTTTTTTCTTTTCATGGCTTCTGTGCACTGAGCAACAGCCAGCCTGCTCTGATTTCCCTGTAGGTTCCCAGAGGCTTTGCATCAGTGCTGAACTGGGTGGAGTCACTGGGACTGTGCCCAGTGTTCCCACCGGCAGTGCCTGTTACCAGGACAGCCATAGCTTGGATGCTGGAGCAGGACCGGAGTCACTATGAATCTCCCAGCGGAGAGAAGACAATCCTGAATCCAGCACAGGGTCCAGCCCGGGAGGTCAATGGGTATAACAGGGTCCTTGGCACTGCTCCCTCTTACTCTCAAGGAATGTAGCCCCATGAAAGGACCCCAGCTTGGGAAATGCAGCACCAAAATGTATCACTCGATTTCAATGCAATTATTTATAAAAAAGACAAGCTTGGGCCAGAAATTATCTGACAAGGACACAATCACAAATTACCCCAAATATGTTTGTATGAATGTTTTAGGATTATCATGGAAACAAAAAACAAATTATTCATTTCTTTTTCAATAGTGAAAGAGATCCTTCAGGGTGCACTCAGTTTGGGAAGCACTGGTGTAATAGAAAACAACTCTGGAAAGGGACTGCCCTGATTTCAAGTTCAAGTCTGACCACCAACTAGCTGGGTGACCTTGTGTAAGTTGCCACGTTAGTGTCCTAGTTTGCAAAATGTGAATAAAACTTCCTCAGGCTGCTGTGAGGAGTCAGTGAGATAATGCATTCTAAGGGATTAGTATAATGTCTATCATATCATAAATAATAGGCTACTTTTACAATGCTTAATAAATGACAATAGCTACATCTTTAAACACAAGTAGAAATCCTCAATTCAGAAGTTAGAAGGGGAAAATGCAAAAGCTTCAGGAGGTAAAAGAAAAAAGTGCGTCCCTCAACCCAGTAACTAATTAGTGTGAACACTGTTCTATTATGCAGCCTTCCTTAATACTAATTATTATATAGATGTTTTGTGTGTGCACAGCTAATGAGCCTCAGAGCTTGGAATTTACCCACGGAGATGAAAGCAGGCACACAGTGTGAAGTAAGCCCTACAAATATTTATAGTTCCTAGTTCTCACATCTGCCCTGGCAATTAGGACCCCAAATTCCTTAATAGGGATAGGAGTAAAACACCCACATGACTCATATTCCAGGTGAGCTCCTTGTACTTTAACAGAGATTTCTCTGTACGTTTTTGAAGCCAGTGAATGAATGATGAGTCCTGGTGAACCAGACAAAGACAATTTAGTTGGATACATCATTTATAAATTCATTCAAGTCAGTATTCTTCACTGAGTTTCTCTCATGGACTAGGGACTGTGAGATTTAGTAATTTTCAAAGGTGAATAAGACGTGACTTGCAAAGTTTCCCTGTGAGGAGAGGCAGCCTGGCATAATGAAAGCCTTATCAGAGGCGTGAAACCTCTTACAGAAAGCAGTGACTTAATACTTGGGAAGGGATTCTGGCGTGTTTTAACACTGATCTCTTTTCTAGTCCTTGAGCAAAACAAGCTCTTTCCAGTCTCGGGGACTTTGCACTTCATTCATTTGGAACACTAGTATGGCTAGCCCCTTCTCTCCCTCCGAGACCAACATCAAAAGTTAACTTCTCCAGGATGCTTTCTCTAGTCACTCTGACTTCCTCTCCAAATCACTCTATCACTTGACTTTGTTTAGTTTTTCAAGTTGTTTATTCCAATATGTACTTACCATTTTCATTATTATTTATTTCTTTTGGTCTTCATTGTCAACCCACCACCATTCCCCCTGGAACATAGCAGCAAGAAGGAAGGAAATGCCTTTGTCTAAAATCACTAGCACTTAACATACTGTGTGATCCACTGCATGCTCTTAACAGATTTTATAAATAAATGGATGAATTAGAAATTGTGCCAAAGGTCTCTCCACTTCTCTTTTCCATAGCATTTATCACTTTGTGTGGTACATTGGGATTTATCCCTCTGCTTCTCCTAATGCACTCACTATAAGACCATTAAGGTCACTCACTTATCCCTAGTGCTAACTCTAGCATTTAATACCTGCTCAGTAAATATTTGTTGAATGAACAAGCTAGGTTTTACAGAAAGAGCAAGAATATATGAAGAATAGAAGAAGGAAAACAGTTCCAGGTTTCAAGGACTACTGGTGCAGAGAAAAGGACACATAAGAAATCCCAGCCCACTCAGCTATCTCTGGGAGTTTGGTGTATCTGGGGCAGAGTCTATGAGCAATGTCTGGAGCAAGGGTCAGTCAAGAGCCTAGTCAGGATGGTACATGAGCAAGATACCCCACTAAAGAGTCAGGATAGCTCTGAAATTCACCACCTTTCCTGGATAAAAAACGTACATAAGCTGCAAGGTACAGATGCAGGGGAAGGAGCTCTGTGTACCACAAAAGATCTAGAGTCAGACTGCCTTGGATTCAAGTGCTGGCCCCCTGCTTATTAGCTGTGTTACCTATATAGGCATCTAACTTATCTAAAGCCTCAGTTTCCTCATATGTAAAATTAGGGATGATAATAGTAACTATTTCATAGAGTTTTTGTGAATATTAAATAACACCATGTATAAGCAATGTCCTAAACTTCACTCAAAACACACTGGGCTCTCAACAAACATGAAGTGTAATTACTATTGCTGTAATCACCATAATTCTTTTGCCTGAAAAGGTGCTAAAAGAAACACTCACTTTAAAAAATTCATTTGGAAGGAAGGAAATAGTCTTTAAAATACTGCATAATTACCAAGTATTTTTACCTATAGTTCTTCATTTTGTCTTTGCAAAGACACTGTGATATATTCATTGTCAACTCTAATTTAGAGAAGACAAAACAGGTTATCGTTCTAATAAGAAAAGGGCAGAATTAGATCTTCCCACTTCAAGTTCAGTATCATGGATACAAAATAAAATATAGGTGTTAAAAGACATTTCCACAAGCAGGAAAAAAAAAAAAAAGAAAGAAAGAAAGCTCTTGAGACCAAACTGAGTAGGATTGTTTCTCTCTGATCAAGAAGAACAGAATTCCCACAAGGCACCCCATGCTGCCTCGGCTGGTCAAATGCAAGGGCGGTAATCTGCAACCTTGTCAGGGGGTCTCCGCGGGGAGGGAGCCTGTCTTGGACCAGCCTGTGGTGGGATTCTGCCCCTTCACCTCTCTCAACACAGTTAAAAGTCTCCCAGCCTCGCAAAGCCCATCCACACAGTGTTGCCATGCTCATGCCTAAAGGATGTCAGCGCCTAGAACACAGAAAGAAATGTTGGGGAACTTCTTTTATCTTTAAAAGAACTAACAAAAGAATCCATTTAGCAGGGGAGAGAATTGAGAATGCTGGGAATATCACTTTACTGACCCCATTTTCCCATTTAATAATCAGCTGCCAAAAGCTGTGTCCTGCACACAGTTGAGTCTTGCACTTCAACAGTTGCCGTCCTTTTGATCTTTAAAGATGAATTGTCAAACTTAAGAGAGGGCTAGGCAACTTTCCAAAAAAGAGCAGCAAGACGGCAAAACTTTTCGAAATAGCTGGGAAGAAAGAAAAGCAATTGGGGTTATCATGAGGGGGAAACTTAACAAGGATCTGGTAATAGAGTATAGACGGGTATGCACAGCAGGAGGGGCTGACATTCATTCCCTGAACCTCCTGTAGCTCAGACATCCCTCTGTGTGTTTCTACCTCTGCCTGTCCCAGAAATCATGTGAGAATGTCCCTCGTATAGACAAACTTTTAGATAAATGTGAAAACCATGCTGGCTTATCAGTACCAAAAGGAGCTTGACAATACCTCTTCTTTAAGCAACGTATTTAAAAAGCAACAACTAATAATTGACAGGTGAACTATAACCCAAGATCCTAGAATGTTCCAAGATGATCATTAGGCAATGTGACCTGTGGCCCCAGGGAAAATCTCAGCTCATGCTGGAGCCTCCTGCACAAGCCCCAGCTTCAGCCAAGTCCAGCAACTCCCAGAAGCCTGCTCCATAGGCTGCACCCCATCACACAGACGGGACTGCTATAGCACCCCCAAAGATGGGCCCGTCCTGGCAGGACCACCTGTCCCAGTTGTCTTCTAATTCTAGTGTGCCCATTCTCTAAGGAGATCACTAAGAAACATTCATTTGGGGCTTGGAGGGGAGTTATTTGCCCTCTAAAGAGTTCTCCACTCTGACATTTTATACAGTGCTAGCAGCAGAGACTGACTCTCATTTCCCCTTTCCTCACGGTTCACTGAACAATTATCCCTGTAGGAAAAAAAGGAAAAAGAAAAAGACTGGTAGCTCCAAAAAGGAGAGACCTAACTCTCTCTACAGTGGGGTAGTCACTGTCCCAACATACGATTACTCTTGGCAACTTTTCCTCCAGGGAGTAGCACCAATGCCTCGTCCAGCTCCCTAGCAGAGGGGGGTGAGTCCAACACTGCACTCCATCCCGTGCCGACATTCCTGCACACTCGGTGGCAGTTAGCTCTCTACATACCAATTCAAGACCCTTTCAGCTTCCTTCTTGTGTCTAGAGGTAGAGTCTGGGAAGTCAAAGACACGTTTCCCAGACTCCCTTGCGGCAGGATCAGTCTGAGACTTAGCTTCTATCAAGCAATCACACCTAAAAGAGACAGGGAGGTAGAAGTGACAAACTAGAAATAGGTGCCAAATTTGAGGAGAATGACTACTTCCACAAGAAAGGAGATGGAAGTGTCTGTTTTTGGGGAGACATCTGTGGTGGTGTTTCCAGTGTTCGATTTTTAGCATTTTATATGCTGAGCAGTGGGCAATTTCAGCAGAAGGATTTCTGCCAGATGAGTAACATGTGTGTGATTAGATATTTCTCCTGGATCTGTTGCCTTTGGCTGCATTATTCCTGGCCTTGCAGAATCCAAGCCAGATCCTCTGGCCTCCTGGAGATTCTTTGAACCATATAATATCTTGAATAAAACTTTCTGCTTAACTAGCTAGAGTGGATCTTGCTGCATCCAAATACCCTGACAGATACACAGTTTTAATTAATTAAATCAATCTTAATTAAACTCTTAATCTCTTCTTCTAAGAAATTAAAATCACAAGTGTCCAACACAATTGTTCACCAATTTATTATTCCTGCTACACTCAGGTCACTGTCAAGCAAATTGGTCAAGCAATGGTCCTTCCCCAGAGTAACACTGCCTCTATCCTATGTTCCAAATATGCACCCTTCACTTCTTATGTCTCTATAAGAATAACAATACTTCCTCTTCTTCCCAGTATATAATACAGAAGTGGATGGCTACAAGCTCTCCTCAGTTGAAGTGGGTTCCGACACAAGAGAATCTTCAGGTAAGGATTTCCAACTTGACATCCATTATCATTGAAATTGTGGACTGAGGCTAGAGTGTAGAATTTGCACAATATAGACATAGTAATAGGGAGAACTGCTTCTATGCCTCTAGAGCTAATGCTATTAGACTGGACTGTGATGAATTTTAAGGCCATTTTAAAACAAAGTAAGTGAGATATTTAGTAATTTCCCAGCATTTGGATGGCAACGCCAGCTATTAAGCCTCCCTCCACCTCCTAGCCAAGTCTTTTAATCTGTTAGCCTCATTATTAGTAATCAAGTCACAAAGATATTCTCCAGCCTCCCCTCAATTTATCACTGGATAACCACAGCCTTACTAACATCTTTATGCTCCATTCTAAAATTTAAGGAGCATATTTTTCATACTGAAAATCAGGCAGTTTGCATATTAATTCACTATCATTTTCCAAAACAAATGAGGTCAGAAACCTAGCAAAGGAGTTCTATAAAACAAATAAACAAACAAAACCCAAACAAATGAACAAGAGAGCCTGATCTTCTATTTGATAAGAATCACAGTGAAAGAAGAATAAGGTACTTTCTGGCTCTGAGCTCAGTGCCCAGGTTATATGAAATGCAGTCATGTGCCCCAGGCAACGTTTTAGTCAGTGAAGGATCTGTGGTCCCATAAGAATATAATGGAGGTGACAAATTCCTATCACTTATTGATGTTTTAGGGCAACCCATTACTCACATGTTTACAGTGATGCTTGTGTAAACAAATCTGTGCTGGCAGTCATATGAAAGTGTAGCACACACAATTATGCATAGTACATAATACTATGCATAATTGTATGTACAGTATAAACATACAATTGGTATGAAAATAAATGTTACTGGTTTATGTATTTACTATACTATAATTTTACTGTCATTTTAGAATATACTCCTTCTACTTACTAAAAAGAAAATTAACCATAAAATACCCTCAGGCAGGCCCTTCAGGAGGCATTCCAGAAGAAGGCATTGTTATCACAGAAGATGACAGCTCCATGCAGGTCATTGCCCCTGAAGACCTTCCAGTGGGACAAGATGTGGAGGTGGAAGACAGTGATATTGACGATCCTGACTCTGTGTAGGCCTACGCTAATGTGTGTGTTTGTGTCTGACTTTTTAACAAAAAGTTATAAAAGTAAAAAATAAAAATTGAAAAATTGTAATAGAAAAAAGCTTATAGAACCAGAATATAGAGAAAGAAAACATATTTTGGTACTGCTGTATGATGCATTAGTGTTTAAGCTAAGTGTTACTACAAAGGAGTAAAAAAAAAATTAAAATTTATAATGTAAAAACGGTTACAATAAGCGAAGGTTAATGTATTATTGAAGAAAGAAAAATATTTTTTCACAAATTTAGTGAAGCCTAAGTGTACAGTATTTATAAAGTTTATGATAGTGAACAGTATAATGTCCTAGACCTTCACATTCACTCACCACTCACTCAGTGATTTACCTAGAGCAACTTGCAGTTTTGCAAGCTCCATTCTCGGGAAGTGTCCATTTTTTTCTTTTATACCATATTTTTACTGTACCTTTCTATGTTTAGATACACAAATACTGTTGTGTTGCAGTTGGCTGCAATATTCAGTACAGTAACATGATGTACAGGTTTATAGCCTAGGATCCAAAGGCTATATACCACATCCACAGCCTCCGTGTGCAGTAGGCTATACCACCTAGGTTTATGTGAGTACACTCTACAATGTTCACATAATGACTAAGTCATGCAAGGATGTATTTCTCAGAAGTATTCCCTTCATTAAGCGACTCATGACTGTAATTAAACTTATATTTGAATAATTACTAAATTTCCTCAAGACCACAATAGCCTATTCTGTTTTTGTTGTTTTTTGTTTTTGGAAACTCTAACAGCTATAAATAGTCTCTTTCCTATAATTCTGTTTGAAATAAGGCAAAATCATAGCATCAAAAGAGAACAAAACCTGGAACCGACTACTATACAACAGGATGGACATGGATAAGTCATAGATTTTTTTTTTTGTCTCATTTGTTACATGAAGGTCAGTTCAGATAATAGGCAAGGTCCCCAAAAAGCTCTACCATTTAAAGATTCTAGACATAAAAATGTATCTAATTTGACCAAAATTTTATGAGTTTATAATACCAAGAAGCAGCATGGTGCACTTGGAAAGGCAATGGGTCTTTAGTGTCAGTCTGGCTTTGAATTAGAATTCTGGTTCTACCACTTACAAGCTGTGAAACCTACCCCAAGTTGCTTAACCTTTCTCAGCCTATGCTTTTTTATATATCAAGTAGGATAAATAAAATTTACTGCATAGAGTTGCTCTGATACTTAAATTAACTGATGAGGAGCTCCAATCCCAATTCAAAATTAGTGAGTTCCCTACTTCTCTCTATCCTCTTCATGCACTGAATTAAAATGAGAAAGCATTGATGACTTATTCTTTCCTGAATGGGGGAAGGAAAACAATTTATGATTGTATCACTTTGAGACAAGTTTAGTTAAATGACTTCTTTACTGTGGTTTCCACCAGTCTTTGGTGGATTTAGTTAGGAAAATCTTTTTCCATTTAGCATTTATTTATTACACAAATATTTATTCTGCGCCCACTATGTGCTACTCCTTGTTCTGTGCACAGGGGATAGAGTAGAGAACAGAATAGGCCAGGTCCCTGTGCTCCTGGAATGTATAATCTGGTGGACATCTTCCAGAACAGTCTTAGAAATAATGTTGTAGAAAATGTCTTCTCCCATTCAGCCTATCAGTATTGGGCTTTCCAGAGTTCACCTTTTCCCATTTCAAAGGAAAATAAAACCCATGGAGGTTAATTCATACCCATATGTGATTTAGGTGAAGATTCACCAGAGTACAAAAGTGAACATGGGTTTAGAGTTAGCCAAATCTTGACTCTGATAGTTATTAGAGATATGCCATTGGGCAAAGAAATTAACCAGTGTTCCTCAGTTTCCCTTATAGTAATATTTACCTGCAAAAATATACAGGTGTTATGATTTACTATAAGTAAAACACCTAGAGCAATGCATAAGAGTAGAAACAGAATGATGATAATGATGACACAGATTCCATTTTATTATTATTTGCTTTTCCATTGATCAGAGGAAAATGAGCTATCCTAAGGTTAGTGACTCACAAAGGAAAAGCTATTATATCCATTCTGGATTATGTGGAAAAAAATAAGACAGAAATGTATACAACTCACATATGATACTTATTATATTTTATTTAAACTATGAAAAATATGTGATGAAACATGTGTCTGTCCCATTAAGAAAATCTATCCAACACATTTTCCTGGCTCAACTCCTACAATAAGATTAGCCTTTATGCAGAGTGTCTAATGTCAAAACAGCATTTATAAAACCATCCACTGTTGAGATGGCAAAGATGGGATAGTTTTAACAAAGGTATGATATGCATAAAGAGAAGTCTTCATTTTAATGACCTATAAATTGCATAACTGGTAGTTTGAAATATAGAGCTCACTTAGGGTAATCCCATTTCCAATTAATTCTATACCTTAATTCTTTATATGCATAAAAGTACAGAATGCCTATCCACTTGAAATATTTTTACTGCCATTTTAAAAGCTGAAAGCCTGAAACAAACTTTTAACCTTCATTAAATATTATTAGATAAGAAAATGTAAAAAAGTGAAATATTCACCAGTCCAATTAAAAGGAAGACTCCACTTAATGTATTTACCGAATATACTTAGGGGTCTTTCTTAATCAAGTCTCCTGATCTGCAGCTATTTATTCTAAACTTTTCGACATTTTCCATATTCACCCAGCCCCATTCTTTCCCACCTAATCACTTTCCCATTTTTTTATCTGAATTCATTAAGCTGCTGCTTCTCTCTTTCATAGAAGATAACAAGGACAGTGCATGTGTGTGTGTATGTGTGTTTTATGTGCATGCGTGTGTTGTCTCTTTCCAATGGATTTCACACCAGAGCAGTAGTTCTCAATTTTGGCTGCATCTTGAAACCCTCTAAGGAGCATTTAAAATTTTAAAACTACTGATACCAATTTAGTTGGTCTGGGTTATGCCTGAGCACCGGGATTTTTTTAAGTTCCCACCGAATATTCTAATGTGAAGCCCAACTTGAGCACTCCTGTGCTAGAATGTGGAAACTTCCTTAATTTCTTTTCCTTTCCATTCTATATTTATGCTGAATATTTTGGTTCTACAGCTCAGTTAAAAATAAATTATTCTAAAGACTGTATCTCTGAGTTCTTCCATTTTTGGAAATGTTTCACTTAGTAGATATGGCTACTGATCTTGGCTAGATCCATGTGGTTGTCTCAGGACAAGTGACATTTGCAAAGCTGGCACAAGCACTCAAGTGCAGGCCCACTCATGCCTTCCAAAAACACACTACAACAAGCAGAGGTTTCGGTGATCTGGAAAGGGCAGCCTGAATCCTAGATCCATCATCTGCAGTCCAGCCCATACCTGACCATCCTTAAGTTGGCATTTCCATGGATGACTCCATCAGAGCCCAAAAGGCAGGGCCTGTGAAAAGAGTCCTGTCTGACCACCAGCAGCAAACCAGCCAATCCTCAGCCTCTGGGGATATATATATATATTTTCCTATTTTCAACTATCATGAGAATTTACTACATGGTTATTTTCCTGAGTTTCTCCTCATAATTTCTCTGGCAATGTTAATTTTCATGTCCATTTTAGACCTCAAATATCAGTACAGGTCAAATGGGTATTTTAATTTAGAGTTCACTGAGTCCCATTGTAATAGTTGGCTATGGCTGCCATAACAAAGTACCACAGAGTTGGTGGCTTAAGCAAGAGAATTGATTTTCTCACAGTTCTGGAAACTATAAGTGTGAGATCCAGGTGTCAACAGGGCTGATTTCTTCTGAGGCCTTCTTTTTGGCTTGTAGATGGCCATCTTGTCCCCGTCTCTACAAGGTCCTCCCTCGATGTGTGCCTGTGTCCTAATCTCCTCTTGTGATAAGGACACCAGCCATGCTGGATTAGGGCCCTCCTATATCACTGCGTTTTACCTTAATTACCTCTTTATAGACCCAGTCTCCAAATACGGCACATTCTGAGGTAGTAGGGGTTAGGACTTAAACATATGAATTTGGGGGAACACAATTCAGCCCATAACACCCATGAAATAAAAGAATTTAATCCCTCCTTGACTTCCCTTAGCTTGGATCCTTGACTTCCCTTAGCTTGGATTCTGTTTGTATAAAAAAAAAAAAAAAAACTATAGCCATGACAGATCTCCACAATTTTAAAATTATGTGATGAACGTAGTTGGTAAGCTAATCCAACTCAAAAAATATTAAGACTCTGAAAGAAGTATAAGAAATACAGAACCTATCAAGTTATGCAGTAGAGAAAGGGACAATGTAAAATAACTTTCCTGATTTTGTGAAAACTATATTTCATATAATCAGAGAGAGGCTTGACTTAAAATTTTCTGCTTCATAAACATTATAAGTTTGTTCATCTTGTCAGCATGTAGCTCCAACTTAGAGTTTGGAATATACAGTTGCCCTAGAATAATTGTCTTAATTGGCATATTTTGCTAAATTATTAGTGTTAGGAGTCTGTCCCAATTCCCCCATCTATGCAGAGGATTTCAATTTGAACTCATAGCTTAGCTGCTTAAAGGTACTTTTGTGATGCTGAATATATGGAACTTCTCAATTGCTTTCTTAAGGTAATTCACCTAAGATTTCCTTCTGGAAAATGTGGGTTTCCACGTGTGAAGATCTTGCCTGATTCTATCAATTTATTAAAATTGTGGTGTAACAGCAGGGATCTACCTTGAGGTTTGGGCTTGGTCACTTTGCCACAGGGCTTGGAAATGGTGACAGTCTTCTGGCAGTCAGCATTGTGGAGGGCTCGCTTCAGACTTCCGGTTCTGGTCTTCAAGGCCGTATTCAGGTCACATTCTCCCCAGGCCTGGAACTGGTATTTGCACTCCGCTAAAGGCA